TGTGCACACTTTTCAGCCTGGAGTGTTTTCCTAGCAGAAGTGACCACAGCCACCTCAGTCAACTGCTTTAAGAGGAGACTTAATCAACGCGTCCCTACATACGGATTATCGAATCCTTTGTGGACAAGCTATACCCGATGCATGCCTTGAGACTGGCTAGTTGTTATTATTGTGATCTCCTCAGATCACTAACATAATTTATTTAGATCATTATCTCTGTTTCTTCCCTCTTACATACACTTCGGTCCTCTCTCACAATCTGCAAAACCAATTAATAAACTAAATTATCTATTATTTACTTAGCCCCAAAATTTTATTCTTATTATCATTTAAATTTTCTCCTTATTATTCTCCATATTGCAACTAACTATGGTAGCTGTTGGTATCCGGAAACCCTACTGCCCTGAAACAAACGTATTAAGTCAAATCACGGGACATACAAACTCCCAAACCACTGCTAGAAGACTAGAGTTAGACAGTCAAGTGGTTAGACTCCCATTCATTGGACGTTACGAAATGCCTGAAACCGTACCGAAAGAACAAGAATCGATAGCAAAGAAATGAATTACTTTTTACTAGTTAGTGCAAAAGGTACTGGATATTGCGAAAGAAACATGGAAGCAATGGATGACCGTCTCCTCCTAGTGTTGGGCTTATCAGCAGTGCTCATCCAAGCTCCCTAATAAAATCGCACCAAGGAATCCAGGTCTTGTGCGACCTTTCTACCTCTAGATCATTGAGTCTGTATATATCAAACGTCATTAAAGCAATGACATTGATCGACCTCATCCATCCTAAAGTAGATACAAGAATAGAGAGACATGCCAAACTATGAATGTCCTAAGCTTTCAACTCCGGCACACGCAGAGATACAGTCCCTGTTAGAAATTATGATTATCTAAAAGCTTTTATTAGCTATCGACGAAGCAACTGACGTTACTCATTTTCTCAACACCACTCAGTCGAAGACCATAGAAAATACTCCATGGAGTGTTCACTATATTTATTACTCACGAAAATTTTGGAAATTTATTTTAAAAATGGTTAAAAAATCATTTTCGATTTTTGGTTCGTCAACCAAACTCCTGGAACCGTACCGAAAGAACAAGAATCAAGCTTACAGAAATCAATTGGCTATTTTCATTTCTAGGTTGCCCTGCTCGTCACCACGTCTGACGGCTGTGACATTTAGGAACCGGGAAGACCTGACTGAGACACTCCAAGCTTGGTACAGTCCGAAGAACGATCTGCCTAGCCACATCAGGTGTTCCGAAAGTCGACCTAAATCTGTGAGACAACTGCAGGGAGACCACTATGAACGCACGAAACCGACAGTTGACCTCGATCAACAACCCCTGGCACAAGACACGACTGAACTCACTACACAGGCGAAACACCTGCAGAGGCCAGTTCCCACAGAACTGACCAACTCGGTTTAAACAACTTGTTTGAAAATCCGACAACGGCTGCTGCTGCAGAAGTGAACCGGGTGCTGAAACACACCATCAAGTTCCTCTGTAGCAATGTCAGAGGACTAAGGGATAAGCTATTAGAAATCTGGAATACGTGCTCTCAGATGTATCTGAAGATCATAATCCTAACTGAAACATGTCTATCCCATGACACTACAGACGAAGAAGTGAGATTACCAGACATGACATCCTTCCAAAGCGATAGGGTACACCGAACTGGAGGTGGAGTAGCTATACATATAAACAACCACTTAAAAGTCGAGCGGCTATACGACACCCAACTAACTGAGGTGACAGAATCATGTTGGTGTTGCTTCCTCACAAATGGTACGAAACACTTGATTGGAGGGATTTACCGACCTCCTTAGGGCGCCAAAGCCCAGAAAGGCAAACTGACTGAGGCAATACTGCAACTGCCACTCTTGAGGTTTGATCAAATACTCTTAGCTGAATATTTCAATACCCCATCTCTAAATCTCAGCAATCAGAGTAAATCTCCCACTAGTTTGTTCAAAAGACGACTTGTAGCAGCCATTATAAGCTCTGGGCTGACTGAGCACGTATGCAGTGCCACTAGATGTACTTGTTACGGGAGAAATGAAGACATTCGGCTGATTAAAACCTTTATATAAATATCATTAATTTCACTGTGTTTTTCGGGTATATTTATTTTACTTAACTTATGAACTTGTTTGATTTATTATTTTCGGACATTTTGACTTCTGTTTGTCTTGGTTTGGTAATTGGGTGTTTTTGCTCCAGAAACCTATAAAATTGAAGGTTTTTGTAGTTATTATAATCATTTTGTTGTTAGAACGACATTTTGGTCGACTATTTATGAATTGCGAATAAACTTTGGTACCTAACTTTGGAGTTTGGTTCTGTTGTTAATTTGGGTTTGTGAATTGCAAATAGATCGACATACTGTACTTCAATAACGGGAAGGAGCAAAACTTGGACGTAACAGTACTAAAGAGGGAAAGTCCTCAAAACTGGTGTATAATCCATTTTGAAGGCTTTGTTTTCGGAAAATCCCTCCACGTATATGTATTTGTGTTATGATATGACTGACTCTTTCTGTTCGATATTTTGGTACTCTATTTGGTTCCATTTTGGGATTTTATCATTTGTATCTTGTTATTATTTCTATATCTTTTACTTATATTGAAGTTTCTATGTTTCCTTCTGAACTATATATGTGTCGTTTAAAATTGATACTTAGTATGGCTACAGCCATATTTGGATTTGATATTCTAGCAGTAACTGACTGCAAGCACTTATTCTTCCAGTAACGGAACCTATTGTGGTGATTGGAAACTCAAAGGTGTAATAGTGTTTTGGTAATTGACTGAACTTCCCTTTTTGATTAAATACAGAAAGATTTTCTCCCAGAATGATCGTTTTTGGACTTGGACTGGGCGGGACGCGTGTGGACCTACACCTTTCGGGTTCAGAGCGAACTGCAAGAGTAATATAATCACTTTACACTTGGGTTATCCGTTATCAAATAACCAGCTCCTGGTCAAGGATGTTCACGTCCGTACACCAGTGGGAATTAGTGATCATGGCACAGTCTTGTTTAACATGGTCATAAGTGAAACATTCTCACAGGACGATAACGAGCCCTATTTTGCTACACTAGGGCAAATTATACGCGTATGAGAGAGTTCCTCCTACATGGCCCATGGCCACGGGAGAGGTGGAGGCTGACAGTAGAGAGACATCAGACAGAGCGCTGTCTTACAAAATGTGTCCCAGTCACACCACACACACGGGTTAGGCACAGCTTGCTACAGGCTAAGATGAGAGCCAGGCACAAGTGGAAGGTTTCCTTGAAGAATTCCGCTTGTAGTTCTTACTTGGCATTGAGAAACAGATACAATATCAAAGTTCAAAGTGATAGGAGACAATTTCAGATGTCAAAATAGAGGCGAACGCTAAGTATCTGTTTAGGTTCATGACTAAAGGAAAACCTACGTATCGGCGTTTGTGTTCTCTCACAGGTCGGAATAGGGAAGACCTCACCAACCCAGCGATGGCCGAAATCTTCAACACTAACTTTATTGAGCAGTTAAACCAGGCAACCACATGTTCAGAGTACTGCGCAAACCTAGTGCCAGCTGACGACTTAGGGAACATCTGCATTACTCCTGACTTAGTACTAAGGATACTTAAATCCTTACGCCCAGTTAAGTCACCGGGTCGTGACAATATTCGCCCCCATAGTCTTGAAACAATGTGCAGAAGTCCTCTGTTCACCGACATGCGACTTGTTTAAGCATTCACCAGAGTCACACTAACTCCCAGCTGAACGAAAACAAGCTACTCTCTCTCCAATCTTCAAAGGAGGAGATGGAAATGGACAGTGAAAAACGGTTTAAAACTCAACCAACCGAAGTGCCATGTCATGCATATTCTGTCTCACATGACGCAGACGATCTACATCATCAATGCAAGTCTCCATAATGTCTCCTCAGAGTGCGATCTCGAGTTAATAACCACAGAAAGCCTCCAAACGAGTCCGAACTATGTAGGGGACGCAGCCAAGGCAAATGCGACGGCTCATTTTATGCGAAGACAACTTGGTGCTATCAGCCCGCAATTATTTTAAGACTACTTAAGACGTGTGCGCGCCCACACCCGGAGGTTAGCAACGTCATCGCGGCCCCTCTGCATAAATCTCTTGAATGGAGTACACAGACTAGCAACCCAATGGGTGATAGGGTTTAAAAATAAGCCTTACGACGATAGACTGCAGCACTTAGAATTATTTCCACTAAGCTATAGGATAATCAGAGGTGATCTGATTATGGTGTACAACATATTAAACACGCCAAACCATCCAAACGTGAGCATCTTACGGATGCATCACCGCCACTCCCCTCGAGGCAATCCTCGAAAGATTGCACATCAAAGAGCGAATACTCAGATTCGTGCACACTTTTTCTAATTGCGAGTCGTCGCAACTTGGAATGCTCTCCTAGCCGAGGTGACTATAGCCCCCTCAGTAGACAGCTATAAGAAGACACTTGATAATCACGTACTCATACACGGATTATCATCTCCCTGTTCGACAAACTGTTCATGATGCATATCTTGAGACATGCTAGTTGTGATAATTGCCATCTCCTCAGATAACCTACTTAGTCTACCTCGCTTATTATCTCTGTTCACTTTCCCTTGCGTACACTACGGTCCTCCCTCACAATCTTCACTACCAATTTAAAACTTAATCTTTTAAATCCATATATTACTTAGTTCTGAAATTATATTCATATTAGCATTAGAATTTCATCCTTATTATACTTAGTACTCTCCACACTGCAACTAACTGAACCCCGGTCTGGTAATGTGACGGCTGCTTGTACCCAAAAACCCTACTGCCGTGAAACAAACGTTTTCATTCAAATCCCGAGACATACAAACTCATAACCAACTGCCAACTGACTAGAATTAGACAGTCAAGCGGCTATACCCCATTCATTGAACACTATCGAACAATTGGAACCGTACAGAAAGAACAAGAATCGAGAGCAAAGAAATCAATTGGTTTACACTAGCTCGTGAAAAAGATATTGGATATTGGATTGAATGAGGTCGCTGAAAACATTCACATATAAAATACCCGCTTCAAACAATTTTTACCTTTTGTTTTCGTCAGAATGTTGAGGCCTAGCCGTGCTCTGATTTGTTTTCTAGTTCTAATCGTCGCTATTCTGATCTCATCATTTATTAAACCCATTGACCACTGTAAGTGATTCGGTGTTATCATGCAATCCATTTGTCTACGGACCATTTTTTCGCAAAGTTTTCTAACAATAACTAACAACCCTCGTGGTTTTTTTGTCAAAAATGGCAGCGTTGTCTGTACTGGTTCATATATATTGAAAATTGATTTTTTATAGTATCTAGGTGGTTTAATTCGGAGAAATCTGTAGACATAGATGTGAAGAGTCTTCAGAAGATGATGAAATCTAACGACGTTAAATTGATAGATGTCCGAGAACCTGATGAGTTGGTCAAAGACGGAAAGATTCCTAATTCTATTAATATACCGCGTAAGTGTGACATGATCTTAATTTTGTAGTCGGTGAAGTTGAGGATGCCTTCAAACTCGACGAGAAAAGCTTCCTAGAGAAGTACAAGATTAAGAAACCAAATGTTGCAGACGAAAATTTGGTTTTTAGTTGTAGAAGTGGCTTCAGAAGTCAGCAAGCCCAAAAAATCGCACAGAGTTTGGGTTACAAAAAGTAAAATGCATATTCGAATAAACTTTATTTTCAGTCCTCTAAATCTTCTTGGTGGATACAAGGCATGGGCCGAAGAAAATGGAGCATAGCATATATTTTTCACTCATTTTTCCGTACGAAATGCCAAATATGTGCCACTATACAGCAGTGAAATTGCTGTATACATTTGTGATTTAAAATTGAAGCTCTTTGTCATTATTTTTAGTCAACAAACATTGAATAGAAGGGGAGTGAAACATTTGTATTCTGGAAAATACCAATTTTATCTATTGTAATTGGTGTTTGCTTTATAGTTTGCTACTTATTAATTACTTTTGGAAGATCTGAAAATGTGTCTGACACATTTGACTATGCTTTTACAGAATGTTATTTTTGCAGAATATACTAATAAGATTAATAAATTCGAAACTCAGAAATAAGATTTTTTCCTTCTGTTTTGTATCTCTAGTTAGGTTCGAAAACTATTTAAGCTAATCAAGAAGTAAGGTTTTTGAGTGTATAGCTTTTATGAACTCTATCCTTTACAAAAACAGGATTCACCACCGCGATGTACATTTCAATTCTGTACGATAATGTATATATATGTACAAATATTTGAGTAAATTCCATAGTAATCTATTAAGTAGCTGATGTTTCGAAGATCATTTCTATTTTTAAAACTTAAAACTACCTGGATCAAGGGATTTGTATTCTTTCGTTTTATTCATAGAATAATGGGGTGATTTCATGCTTTAGTCCGTAAATCGTTTAAACAGATAAGTACTCTTTGATCGTCTAGCCTTTTTAGGGAAATGGATCACGCTCATATTGCATTCATATTTTCAATACTGCCTTAAGTTGTGTTCTAAGTAAACAAACCTTGAAATGAATACCATTAATTTAACCTTTAGTCTCGTTTTAAAAATCTGTGGAATGTCCCGGAAACAAGCTACTAATAAGCAATGCTATAGTTAGGAAACGAGTTCTAGGTAGGGATGGCAGATAAATTGATGAAGTATTGAAATTTCATCAGCTGAGGTAGTTAGGACATGTTTTACATGTGCCCAACCACGGACTGTCTGGTCGTGCTATGTTTTGCGATGTAGGAACAGGTTAGAAGAAAGCTAGGGGCGGCCAAACCAAAACATGGCAGAAATCCATGAAGTCACTGGCAAGTGGACTGAGTCATGTTGGTAGATGTAGGCTACCTGGTTTGGGTCCGCAACACGACAATAACCGATGGTCAGAGACCTTCAATGACATGACTGAAAACCATTTGCGATGGCTCAGGTGCGGTCATTCTTTGTGCTTTCAAATCCCAATCTTCTGGATTCGTCAACACCTTTGTCTTTCTAAACTTATCTCGCTGAATTATACTTCCTGAATAATATCTTCAAATCCCACTCTTCTCCATTACTGCCAAAACTTCTACCATCTCTACCACTATGCTCTTTGAATTGGCAATTGCGTCTCTGTGCTGACGCGGTATGGCAACCTGAACTTATGTACTTACGTACGAAGTTCTACGTTGTAGCTGACTGACTGGACTCTTATCTCTACGACCAACCCTTTTTTCATTTCTGTCTCACCTCGCGCAGCTGATGCTAATGTTTCGAGCTCCCGAAACGTTATTACTGGTCTCCTGAAACCCCGCTCTAAACTACATGTTGGAGCTTTTACTGTTTGAACCTTGTGTGAAATAGGTCAATAGGCTTCCTTAGCTAGGACTCTTGAATCCTGAGCCATCGATGTATGCTGTGTCTCCGAAACGTGCATACATGGTCCAAGTGGTATCTTTTCCAAATAAAGAACCGTCCAGATTAACGATCTGTGTGTCTGGAAGCCCTACTACTGCTTCCCATGGCCTCTCTAGTCTAGGTATAGTATTAAGTCCTAGGGCAAAAGTGGCCCTCCTAGACTACGCCCCAGTAGATTGTCGCTTGTGCTCTTTCCGACTAAACGGGACAGTAAGGACTCAGGAGGATAGGGAAACTCGCCGTTGCCTCTTTGTTGTCTCTGCTTACGCTCCCACTGACTGAAGTTCAGACAAGTTGAAAGATGAGTTTTACAGAAACCTTTATAACCTTCAAAAATTTAAGCGCTTTGATATAGTAATAATGGCTGGTAACTTCAATGCTCAAGTAGGTAGACTGAGTGAAAAGGAAAGACATCTAGGTGGATCTTATGGTGTCGCGGCCCAAAGTACTGATAATAGCAACCGCCTGCTTCAGCTATAACTGCCTATTTCAAGCAAGCACTAACTTCAGGGATAAGGAAAAACATCCTTCGACCTGGCGACCCCCAGAGTCGTCCCAATGATGGACCCAACTAGATCACATCAGCCGCCGATGGAGGGGTTCGACAGAGGTCTGTCGCTTGTTATGGGGTACATGTTTAGATTGAGATCGTGTTCTAGTGCAAGCATGTATTTGTTGGCGGCCTACTGGACGTAGGAAAGACGCTGCAAGGAAACCTCTTAGGGTTCTACCTAATGATAGCATAGCTAAGCACATATTTCAGGAAGAACGGTTAGGCGGCCATGTAAGCGATCCCCACCCCGAGGCAGCTTGGAACAATTTCCAAAACGTTGTGGACACAGTAGTAATATCTGCTAGTAAGGTAAACCATAATGTTAGGCATAAGTCGTTGGTCTCATTAGCATCTGCCGAACTGACAGATCCTCAGAAACTCATTCCGTCTGGCTCTGAACATGGCGAAGAGCGGATTGAGCTTAAGCACAGGCTGATAAGAAGTCTACGCGATGATCGCGAATAGTGTTGGGCAGCGAAAGCAAGAGCGATGGGAAAGGCATCGGTGATAGGTAACGCTAGACAACTGTTTCATAGTGTCAAGGACATTGGTATTAGAAATCTATCTGTTAGCGTAACTATCGCGGAAAATGATGATCGTATAATCAATTCCCAACTTAGAAGATTGGATCGATGGGCAGAATACTTCAGGGGTCAATTCAAATGACCTTCAGCCACACCTTGGTTTCTCACGATCTTCAGTCACCTGAGTGACTAATCGATGTAAGTCTTTCGCGTCATTATGAAGCTGAGAAAGCTATAGGAAATCTGAAGCAAGGGAGAACAGAAGGGTCTGACAGGCTTACCCCTGAAATTTCTAAGAATGGTGGTTCAGTTTTAGCAGTTAGATTGACTGAGATCTTAGGCAGAATCTGGGAACTGGGCATTTTTACATCCGACTGGTCTCAATTATTGATTATCCTAGTCTATAAGAAGTCCTCTTGTGGCAATCACCGAGGAATCATTTTAACTTATATAGTATCCAAAAAGTTGCGGTCAATGATTCTCCGACGCCTAACCAGAGCTAATGAGTTACAGACTAGAAAAATCCAGACCGATTTTCGACCTGGACGTGGATGTATAGACTAGATAGTCACACTACGTCAGGTTCTAGTACATAGACACTGGTTCAGACGTTCCTTAATAGTAGTATTTCTCTACCTTAAAGTGGCATTCGACTCTGTCGATTGTGAGGTTCTGTGGCAGTGTCTTTCATCGAAAGGTGTGTCAAAGAAGTACATTAACCTTATACAAGCTCCCTACTTGAACAAGACTGGTAGAGTGAGAGACTATGACGAACTGTCAGCGGAATCGGTTATTTCAAGTGGTATCCACTCCTGTTTAACTTTGTCGTAGACATGCTTTTAGAGTTAATATTATCATCGTCTGACTTCCACAAGGAGATTCACTGATTGACTTAGAATACACCGATGACATAGTTCCATTCGGTGAAGACGTTGATAAACTGCAGTGTCTCCTGACAACCCTAAGCAACAATGAAAGAATATTCTGGATGCGGTTTCCCCCCTTGAAATGCAAAATGTTGTTTATGGCGTGGGAGAGATATCTGTTTGCTAGTCTACTGCGCAGCAGTTTTCTCCGTTCTACTTTATAGCCGGTAAGAGTAGAAGATATTCGTAAGCTATTAGTATTCGACTATGGATATTTTCGATGCATTGCTTGTATATCTTGGGACCACCGCGCAAGCAATGCTGTCGTTAAGAAAAGAGTACTAGGTAAGGATCACAGATCAATAGATGAAGTATTAAAACTTCATCACGAGGTGGTTGGGAAATGTGTTACGTATGCCCAGCTACCGACTGCCTCGTCGAGCTATGTTTTGTAGTGTAGTAGAGTAGATTGGAAAGAAGCTAGTGACGGCTAAACCAAAGCATGTCACAAATCTATGAAGTCATTGACAAGTCGATTGAGTCATGTTTGTAGATGAAGACTACCTGGTTGGGGTCCACAAGATGATAGTAACCGATGGTTATAGATGTTGAGTGACGTGTTTCGAAATTGTTTGCAATGGCGCAGGTGCATCCATTCTTTGAGTTCTCTCAAGTCTTTACATTTTGAATCCTTCATCACGTTTATCTTTCTCTTTATAAGCTAATTTCACTGAATTATACTTCTTGGATAATATCTTCGAAGCCTAGTCTTCTACATTACCGCTAATACTTTTACTATCTCTACTACCATCGGATTTAAATTGATAATTGTATCTTTGTGAGAATGGTATGGTGTACATACATACGTACAAAGTTTTACGTTGTAACTGAATGAAACTGGACAAAGCGATTTTGTGATAACTGCAATCTCGATGTAAATGTAATGAGCGCCTTTAATACCTTACATGGATTACAGTGCATTAAAATATTTATCTATTTAGGTATGTGAATACTTTTTGTGTGTAAATCTACGGCTACGAAGCTAAATAGCAATTCAAACTCGGATTTTATCTTAATTCAGTCGCAATACCTTTCTATCCAGACGTCAAATCACACTGCATTCCTGTAAAATTATTTCTCGAAAGTTATAGAAACAATCTACTCAACTATTAATGTTGAGTTACGCAGTGTAAAAAAGTAAACTGGATTTCTCAAAATTTCACATCGAGTAATGGGATGAAAGTATTTGTTCTAGAGCATGACATCTATTAAAATGAAATCATCCAGCTAGTAGACAGGTCTCACAATAACAAACAAATCGTTCCGTGTAACAGTTGGACGTGCACAAATAATCAGCTGATGTTAACTTCTACTACGTTTGCCAGGTTACGTGTTAATATTTCGAGATAGTCTCAAACTAATGTCAGGCCATGACGATAACTATCCCAATATTGATGCAAAAAGTCAAAAAATCTATTATAGAATAGCATCGTTTAAGGGTTTGTCAAAGTTTACAAACATCTCATTCTTAATACAAAAATTTTGGTAATCGAAGCTTTTCAAAGCATTGAACTTATGTTTTGGTGCATTATGTTGGGTGTAACTGCACTGTCAACAAACAAAATCATGTTAAATATCACATCATTCTACCTCGTTAGTTAGAATATGTCTTTTCAATGAACACTAAGAGGTTCGAATTTCAGGTTGAGAATTAATCTATTGACTTTTTATACCCTGTCAACTG